TTATGTCAATACGACAATGGATTGCCTTGCGAAATCTGATGTTAAATACCGATTTGTTATCGACATTGCAAAATCATTGAAGGCAGAATAAAATCATTATCGCAGCTTCATGAAATTTGGCTTTGTTTTTAATAATATATGGTCGTCTAGACTGTTGGGAAATTTGTTTTTACTTGTCATATTCCATTATCACTATAATTTATTTTCTATAATGTGGAATATTAACTAGTAATGTGATTTCCATGAATGAGGTTGGCATGAAGATGTATTTTGGAAAATTATTACTCTATTTGACATTAATTTTGAGTATTTTTGGAAATGTATAAACTAAAATTTAAGTGAATAAAAGTGATGCATTTTACGGGATATGGAGCAGTTGTGGGTCTATGAACTACGGAAATAAAATTTATAAGCCGGAAAACTTTTCATAATCACTAATTATTTATTGAGAACGCACGATGTAATTTTAATAATTGAAGGACATTTGGAAAAATAATTACGAGGATGATCATATAGCATTGGACTGAGAATTGAATTACAAAAATTTCAGAATTTTCCTACTTCGGGTAGTCAATTGGAAGGGGGTGTGGATAAAATTTGCATCTGATCTTCAAGTGTTTCTGAATACACTGGGCATATTCGAGCAGATCAAAGTCAAGTGATTCAAACAACTACACTGGGCATATCTGGCAAGGGCGGACCCATTAAGAGTTGAGAGGGGCAGCCCCCACTCAATTTCCAAAAACCTTCGATTGAGTTTTTTAAATTTTAATTTTAGTTTTTTTTTTGGGTTTCTTTCACAATTTATTTTAGTCTATTTTTTGTCTCAACCCTACTTAAACATAAATTTGCGTCCGATTCTAATACCAGGGTAACAAAAAGAAAGATATACAAACGATATGATATATAGACCCATCGCAAAAGACTCAAATTGAATCATAACATTCGGATACAACAATGTACAAACGGAATGATTCTCTTTTTCATCCTAAGAGTAGGCCTATTTACCGAATTTTCACAAGTGATGCTGATGTGGAGGTGATACTATTGGCTTCACAGGATCGATCGTTCAAGTCTCATCATGTTCCTGAGTTTTGAGAAACTTAACGCAAGAGGCTCTCGTTCCACCATCATCATTAGATCCCATGCTCGGGAGTTAATCAAAAATGACTGCTCTTGAGCATATTAAGGCTTGTTCCTCTATCGGCTTGACACCTTCTTGGACTCATTTTGATCTCCTTCAATCCGTCTGGTATTTCCCATTAATCATCTGATGAATCAAGGTGATCCCTCTGACTAAACCTCTCACACAAAGCAATGAATTTTGGTTCGACTAGGTTAAACACCACAATTTTCTCCCATCGCAATCGAGTTTGCCATGCTCATGAAAGTTTCACAATGCCCACCTCCTATGGTGGCTGGAAAGGCCATTTTTTCTTGGTTTGTTTGGTCGAGGGAGACTTCCCTTTCTCAACTAAATGGAGAGTACTCAAATAGACTGTTTCAATAGAGCTCAGCTCCAACTGAAATTGAAGTGAAATATCTCATGTCTCTTTGTACAATGTGCACAATGTAATGAACGACTTGTTAGTTGACGACACTAATTCGTGTGGGCATCAATTGCCATGTTGGTAAGTTTACAGTTATCCATTTTCCTTTTGCATATAGTTTATTCATTTGGTCTAGTTTAGAAGAAATTTCATAGAATGTCCAATTTCACCTAGTCATTTACAAAAATCTCCACATTTTTTCCAATGTCCATTTTCGAATTATTTAGACCAAAATACCCATGTTAGGAAATTCTATTTTCACGGCCAAGACTCTTGGTTCATTTCTCCCCAAATTAACCCCAATTTCATAACCCTCAAATTCCAAATCGATTACATTTACTTGCTGTGAAATATGAAGGAGCGACTGGGAGGGATCTGGGGTGAATTCGTGGCTGAAGGAGAAAGAGTCGTCGGCCGGCGATTGGGGATTGGGCGAAGCTGAAGTGAAGGGAACGGCAGGTCGATAGCGTAACAACATTTTCTGTGGAATGTGAGCCATTTCTCTCTCTCTTTTTTCTTTTTTGGATTTGTTTTCGTTTTATGTCACTGCATCCATGATTTATCATCTATGTTATGTGATTTGTGAATTGTGAATGTTGAGTTTGAGTTGAGTGTTGACTTAGACTTTTCACTGTTGCGGTGTTATCTGTTACTTGTTGGAGCTTGAAAGACGAAGTTGGAAGTACTTGGAACTTGAGTTTGGCCGTTTGGGTCACTTTGAAAAAATATTTGATTTTTGGGTGTTCTTCTAAGTCAAGATCTACTGTTGTTGGGTTTATTTGTATTCCAAGAAAATTACTTGGTGATCAGATGACAATAATGAATAATCTCAATAACTTACCAAACCTTGAGACCAAAAATGACATTATTCTTAGAAAGTTCCGCATTCAGATCAGAAGCCACATTTAGGATGTCAAACAACCTGCAGGAATTTGTAAAAACACTATTTCATCTTATTTCATTTCAAACTCTTAAATGAATCAGCATCAAGATATGTATAAGATCCATTTGTAAAAACCCTGTTTCATCCTATTTCATTTTAAACTCCTAAATGAATCAACATCAAGATATGTATAAGATCCATTTGTAAAAATCCTATTTCATATTTCATATCATTAAGTCACATGATTAAGTCGCAGGAAAAAGACCTATAATTAATTGCACTCTGTAAGTAAATTCAATAAAATAAAGAAATCTCATTTACATATATATTGACTAACTTTTAATATTATTTAATCAAATTTTAATAAACGACCGGGCTATTATGGTTGTTGATTGTCGACGGTCAATGGATAATGGTCAACCTCTGCCCTAACTAGACTTTGGTGTTGGATTTGTCACTGAGCAGAGTTTAAGGTTTTAGAACTACCCATTCTCTATTTTTGCTTCAATAACATGAACTGTTTTAAAATGTTTTGGTATTAACCGAGATTCTTTTTTAATTTCAACAATTAAACAGTTTAGTTTAGATATGATATTTTATCAAAACATTGTATTGTAAAAATCATTTTTCTTTTACTGAATGATAAACAAGAATGTTATATTTGATTTTGTTTGTACGTTCTCATACTATTTGTTAAAGTGTTGTTTTCATTTGTTTTGATTTGTAGATGAGTATGACACAGCGATATAAAATTTTGAAGAAAGAACGTGTTCCGACCCATGTGTCGCAGTTGAGCAACACAAAATACATATCAGTTGTCCTCAACAAATTGGATCCACAACAAAAGCGTCAGTTGGAGGAGAGTTGTATTGGACATGCTACAAGGCTACCGGAGCTGAAACTATCCGCTCAATTAATTCATAAAATGGTAAACAGATCGGTGGTCTGCCCAAAGTAGTTTGAGGCTTGGTTCAAGGTGAACCAAAGGTTTGCACGATTTGGACTGCCGGAGTTCGCACTAATTACCGGCTTGAAATGCGGTCCAATGCCTAAACGTTCCAAAGTTGACAAAATCCTAGAGAAAACCCGTCTACAAGATAGAATGTTTGCTAATATGGACCAGATAACTTGTAGCGATCTAGAGAAAGTTTTTTTGAAATGTGCCAACCGTAACGATCGTTACAAGCTTAGGTTGACACTAATTATTGAAAGGGTATTTAATTCAAGAGATCAATATGTAGGAATACATCCGACAACTCTCTCCATCATTAACGACTTGGATTTCTTCAATGCCTACCCACGGGGGACGGTATGTTTTCAACTTCTCGTCAAATCACTGCTACGTGGACGGGGAAGAAAGGCGGACATGGTAAAAGTGAACGATTGTGATAGGATGACTTACATATTGTACGGATTCCCTCTTGCTGTCCAGGTATACATCTATTTTAGTTCTTTTCAGTTCTTTGCATCACACATTGTTATTTACCTCCAAATATGGTTATTATTGTAATAAATGTCATGCAGGTTTGGGCATACGAGGCAATCTCGGAGTTGGGAGCTCGATTCTCGAGTAAGACTTGTGACGATGTCCCGAGAATGTTGCGGTGGTCTGGCACAAAACAACCTCATTCTCAAACATATTCAGATTTTTTTGAGAATACATATGTAAGTGATTTACATACATAGTTGCCTTACACTTTCGCAATATATAATATTTCATTTCGCCTATTTTTCATTCCCCTGTAAGTGCACTTATGGGTAACGCTGCGCGCAACTGCTGCAGAAGAATTGTAGTCGTACTTCGTTGATCTAATTCCATTGGAAGACGCAACTGACACCGTTCTAGATGGTCTTGTTGCTCAATCAATAGAAATACAAGCTTGTCCAGTTGAAGATGATGTCATATGAAACGATGACAACAACCATAGACCAAATAAATCGCAGAGAGGCAACAAAGGTAGACCTCGTCATCGTGGTTTGCATCACCTTGAAGGCAGAGAATAAGAGCATGGGAATCCGATTATCGAAAGGCCAGTGTCTTTAGATGAGATAAGAGCTATCTTGAACGAACAACGGGAGGCATTTGAGAGCAAGATGGACGATTTAAGGGAAGAGATGAACACAAGATTCGTTAGTCTCCAAAATGATCTGGGAAGTCATGAGTGTGGTTTGAGAAATCATGTCACTAATGAGATCAATGTACTTCGACGAAGGTTTGATAAAGTTGCTACAGAAATTGGGCAACACAATGTTGCTACTGAGTATGGTGGATTTGGTCATGATGATTGTGGTGGAGACGAGCCCGACGTGATGTTTTAACTCCTAATATTTCTGCAAACAGACAAGATGTTGGAGAGGCAACCGAACCAGTTGTTTGCAATATCCCTGATGTGTCCATAACGTCAAAAGGTGGGGTTGGAATACTTGGGTCAGTATACGTTGCTTGTGATATTGTGAAAGAGGCACCAACCATTGTACCTACAGTTGGTGTGATCATTGATGATCAGCTGGTTCATGATAGCGTCGTTTTTAGACCTTCGATGGCAGCTGATCCACCTATACGTAGACCTTGATTGTTGAGGCTGGAGAAGGCTAGTGCGAATACAAAGACGTCATACACTCGATCTGGTCGCAAAAGGGGTAAGAGGGATGCGTAGTCTGTGTATTTTGGTTGACGGTACATAATGGTTTATATGTTAGTGGCATGTTCAGAAGGTTGTAGTTGAAAATAGTTTATAACTTTATTATCTCCTATAGTGGACTAGTATTATGCATTAGTAAATATTCAGACTAATTGACGTTGTTCAGAACATCCCTTTTTTAGTCGAAAAACATTATAGACTGCATTTGGTTATAATGACTTCGATTGCTATTTCATGTCTTCGCATCTTCATTCTCATTGTGTTGCCTTACCTTCTGTGATGTAATAACCGTTTTCAACATGATTGTTATTCTTGATGGAGATTCATGTGTTGATACATAGAGTAAATATTTTACTGGCATGCATTGTTACAATTAGTTGACAATTGATTACATTTCACAAACAATTGCCATGTACTGTGTTCATTCCTGTATTTTGTTCTTCTCATAATCAAACTGTCATTCTACACAAATGAAATATCAAGTGTTGAGAAATGCGGGCATTTCATATCCTGAACTACACGTCAAATGTCAATGTTCTAATAAAATATAGAGAAATAATATACTTTAGTTGAAATGTCGTTTTATACAAATGAAATGCCAAGTGTCAAGATTAGCATGCATTTAATGTCGAGAACTACAAGTCAAATGTCAAGAATTGAATGAAATGTCAAGAAATATATT